TTGAAATTATTACCGTTTTAATACTGCTATTTGATTTCAAAGCTCTATACGCGAAATAGAAATGTACTCTGAAACCTTAAGACCACTTACTATTATCTTTATCCAGTCCATGCATGTGGTATTTTAAAATAATGTAGATGGAAGAAAAGTTTATTTTTGGATTAGTATTTGAGAATGATACTTAATTGCAATACAAGCCGTCTACTAATATATATATATATATATATATTATATTTATACACATTTTTTTTATGGTTCATAGAAACTTTCTCAACTAATTGTATAGGTATTGTAAACAATTATTTGAAATTGTAGTGAGCTAATTTATATTATGAAGATTATTTAGGTTTTCAGGCATTAGTTAATGATAAGAAAATACCTAATTCAAAGTAGTTTTTATTGTTACCATTAAAAATACAAACTTAACTGCATTACTATAAGTCCCTACCATATCTTACATACATGTCAAGGAAATATTATATCCTCTTGCATTGTTTTAACATTTCATAATAATTTTAGAAATCTTGATATATAAAGTACAACAAATCTAATCTATTTACATTTATACCTACCTTTCCGTCGTAGTTTCCCAATCTAAATTAAACATTTTTTAACTATAATCTATAATTTCACTTTTCAAGAAATTCTATCTCCAAAGTATTAATTTATTATACTACTAGCCCTCCGGCTAGCCCCAGTGTTAACTAAAAGTGTTGGAAACACAGTCGAATTATAAAAGTAGCACTTATAATGGAGGTGATTTTTGTGGTTGGAGGCGATTTAGTGATAAGAATTTGTGATAAGGCCAGGCTGTTTTGCGGTCTCGTTTCGGAGCTGGGAATGTTTAACAGTCAAGTTTCAGTGTATAGAAATCTGATTATTATTGATAATACTTAATAATATGTTTTTTATTTTACGTTTTTGTCATGACTTTGTCTGGAGAGATTGCGGTGCTCGAGTGTTTGTAATTACTAAGTTTCGTTTCAATCAATCCACTTATTCCAGCTTAGACTTTACTATCGATCGTGAATCTAAATACGTCAGTTTTTATTTTATGATTCCTCTTATCACTTTGCACAGTATGGTTTGCTTAACGGAGCCGTCTGATTCTTACTCTTTTATGGTACTGCTTATTTGAGGTAATTAGGTCATTTATCTTATATCTTTATTATGCCTTCTACGCCTCACTACATTGAATACAAACCCGCATTTATGGTTAACTACTTTATTTTCAAAAGCATGCAGCTTTTGTTTGCTTGGTGATACCATTGTCTATATTTTGAAACTGAACATATACGTAAACGTTGTATGGCTAAGCGGT